TTGATTTGGGAGAGTTTCAACAGTTGATCACGGTTGTAGACAATTTTTCCGTTGCCATGGATACTCATCATAACAACTTGTGAAAAAGGCCAAATATATGTAGAAAAATCTCCTGAGTTGCAGAGATTTCAACTCAGCTTAAAAAATCATACAAGAAAAACCTAATCTGACAGGTAATGTCAGTAAAAAGACAACAAGATATAAAAAAAAACTCAAGAGCAAAGGGAGCTGTTACAAGTTGCTGCCACCGAGCGGCGCATTCCAGAATCATCATGTAGAGAAGACAGGTTTACTCCATCTGGTGGAGCCTCGGTAGACTCCACCCTCTTCACAAAGATGAGACAAAACAACCAGAAAAAGAATGAAAACCTCTTCAAACAGTGTCACATCTAGAAAAGAACACAGCTCAGCCAACACGTGACACGTCTGTGGTTGCATGTTTTTGCGTGTTTTAGGCGTGTCTCCCAGGATTCTACAGAGTGGGTGGAGTCTTGTTTGGAGGGAACTGTATGCAGTGTGAATGCAACGATCACGCCACCGAGTGCGACGCCAGCGGCGAGTGTGTGGTGAGTCCAAGTCAGGAATGACGTTGTCTGATGTCACCTCCATCGTGGTCATCTGACTCACCTGTCTTGTCTCTCAGGGCTGCATGCACAACACCATCGGCCCGCACTGCGAGCAATGTCTGCCTGGTTTCTATGGCGACGCCACGGAGGGGACGGCCCAAGACTGCCGCCTGTGCCCATGTCCCCTGACCGAACCGTCCAACAGGTTGGTGTCATATTACCCCGGTCCACCTGAATGAACGTTATTAGTACAGACGGAGAGTGACGACACCTGTCCCCTCAGGTTCAGTCCCACCTGTGTGCTGGAGGTGTCCGGAGAGGTGTCATGTGACCAGTGTCAGGACGGATACACCGGGAACAACTGTGAGAGGTGAGCGAGATTGACTGGTTGACCTGCCACCAAGGGGACAGGTGGACCTGGCTTAACACCTGTGTCTGTGTCTCCAGGTGTGCCAGTGGTTTCTATGGGAACCCGCAGGTTGTAGGCGGGGCCTGTGTTCGCTGTGAGTGTAACGGGAATGTGGACGTTAGCGAGCCAGGACACTGTGACACCGTCACCGGGGAGTGTCTCCGTTGTCTCGGCAACACAGCAGGGGCACACTGTGAGGGCTGTCGGCACGGTTACTATGGAGACGCTGTGCATGCCAAGGACTGTCAAGGTGAGTCTCACACACCTGCTGTGATGTCAGCGGCGATCCTCAGAGAACGAGGCAGCCGACTGCAGTGGACAACAGCAGAACTGCAGGTGACATTCTGCACATGCTCAGTGTGTTCACACAGCTGACAGCCGATTGGTTTGACAGGAGGTGAAATATTCACCGAAGGTTCAACAGGTTCAAGAGC